CTCGGCTCGGAGGCAGAGAACTTGAGCAGTACAGCTAGAGACGGATCTCCAACAGCAAGATATCTACCAACCACCCTACGCGGTCAGATGTGGCAGAAGACCGAATTCATGTGGGGTATCCGAGCACGTAGTCTCGGTCAAAAATTCCCCGTAGACCACGTATAAAACGTGGTCGGGTAGCTGTTTCCCGAAACTTGACTCTGTCCTTCGACATAGCCTCGTCTGGGAATCCTCTCGGCTCGGAGGCAGAGAACTTGAGCAGTACAGCTAGAGACGGATCTCAACAACAAGATATCTACCAACCACCCTACGCGGTCAGATGTGGCAGAAGACCGAATTCGCCATCAGGGTATCCGAGCACGTAGTCTCGGTCAAAAAATTCCCGTAGACCGCGTATAAAACGTGGTCGGGTAGCTGTTTCCCGAAACTTGACTCTGTCCTTCGACATAGCCTCGTCTGGGAATCCTCTCGGCTCGGAGGCAGAGAACTTGAGCAGTACAGCTAGAGACGGATCTCCAACAGCAAGATATCTACCATCCGCTCCACGTGGTCAGATGTGGTACAAGGCCGATGAATCTCCAACTGCAGACCATCATTGTCCTTTTGCACCCTGATCTATACCATCCTTGGAACTAGGCTGTCTCTTATCTTCAGTCATCTTCTCAATGATCGCAAGATATCTACCATCCGCTCCACGTGGTCAGATGTGGTACAAGGCCGATGAATCTCCAACTGCAGACCAACATTGTCCTTTTGCACCCCTGATCTATACCATCCTTGGAACTAGGCTGTCTCTTATCTTCAGTCATCTTCTCAATGATCGCAAGATATCTACCATTCGCTCCACGTGGTCAGATGTGGTACAAGGCCGATGAATCTCCAACTGCAGACCAACATTGTCCTTTTGCACCCTGATCTATACCATCCTTGGAACTAGGCTGTCTCTTATCTTCAGTCATCTTCTCAATGATCGCAAGATATCTACCATTGCCTCCACGTGGTCAGATGTGGTACAAGGCCGAATTTAATGTTCGGTACCCGAGCCCTTAGGCGCGGCCAAAAATTCCTCCTAGACCCGATATAAAACGGGGTCGGGTAGATGTTCCCCAGACAAGTACCTGACCTTCAACAGAGCCACATCTGAGAATCCTCTCTGCCCAGATGCAGAAAGTTTGACCAGTACAGCTGGAGATGAATCTCCAACTGCAGACCAACATTGTCCTTTTGCACCCTGATCTATACCATCCTTGGAACTAGGCTGTCTCTTATCTTCAGTCATCTTCTCAATGATCGCAAGATATCTACCATTGCCTCCACGTGGTCAGATGTGGTACAAGACCGAATTTATGTTCGGTACCCGAGCCCTTAGGCGCGGCCAAAAATTCCTCCTAGACCCGGTATAAAACAGGGTCGGGTAGATGTTCCCCAGACAAGTATCTGCCCTTCAACAGAGCCACGTCTGTGGATCCTCTCAGCCTAGATGCAGAAAGTTTGACCAGTACAGCTGGAGATGAATCTCCAACTGCAGACCAATATTGTCCTTTGACACCCTGATCTACTACCATCCTTGGAACTAGGCTGTCTCTTATCTTCAGTCATCTTCTCAATGTCACCAGTTCCGATTTAGGTGTTTACATAGATAACACAACTATTTCCCCTTGTCTAAATAGCAATCCGACAAAGTAAAACTGGTAACTGCTCTCGAAAAGGACCTCTAATTTGTGGTTAACTGGGTCAAGAAATGTCTTCTGTATTTTAACACTTCCAAAACAAAACTGCTTTCATTTAATCACCACAGAGAGCCGTTTCTGTCTGCCATCCGCATAGCTGGTACTTAACTCCAGGAGAACAACACTTTGCACCTTCTTGGCCTTACGTTTTCCCCTGACATGAAATGGAGCGACTATATTTAATCAATTGCTACACCTACTGCTAGTTAGTTCACTGTGTCGTGCCAGACAACTTTTCTAGTCAGAATCAATTTTACAAATTTATAAATATACCATTCGTCGGTGCATCGAGTATTGTTATCCTATCTGTCTCGTGCCCCCGGGTGTACATCTCGAGATTCTAGACAAGATCCAAAGTTATCTGAAATGTTATCGTTCCTGACAAGCATCTCATCTTCAGTCACTTAACAACCGACATGACGTGGCTTATCTCTGTCTTTTCTCCAAATATTTTAATGACAACTGATCAAATGAAAAAATATAGCCACACCACCCTCTTTTGTCGATTTAATGTTCCTAAATAGGTATCAATGCAGATGGCACAGCTACTTACTCCAGTCTTAGTAGCAATTCCGACAACGTAAACCTGGTAACTGATCTCGAATCTGTGGTTAAACGGGTTAAGAAATGGCATGTAAATTCTAAGGCCTCGAAGACAAAAGATTATTCATTACGATCTTCTCGTAATTTACCCTTGGAGAAGATCTTGAAAAAAGATCGAAAGCACTCGGTTTAACAGAAACTACAATGCCATCCTTGATGAATTCCATCTTAACATCAAGAAACTTCTTAAACGACTGGGAAGGATCAGTATAAATATTACTATACACAATATGTTTATATTATTCAATGAAACATGTTTGAATGAAAATATGCTGCCTAAACACACATACATACATACATACATATATATATATATATATATATATATATGTGTGTGTGTGTGTGTGTGTGTGTGTGTGCGTGTGAAAATAAAAAGAGATATGGCCGACGCGTTTTGCCCTCTGTGGGAATTTAGCAAAGGCGATGTAGGATTTATGTCTGACACCGAGATCAACACCGGCCAGTTTAATGCTTGGACGCAAAATTTATATGTTATATCTGCATGCGATGTATCCCAGATATTGAAAACCTTTACTCATAAATATAGCATAACTTAAATCTATATTCTTATCATATATATATATATATATATATATATATATATATATATATATATATATAATAATTTATAGAAAATAGGAAGGAACTGGTTAGGTAAATAATCCAAAGTTCCTTAGTATTTTAGTTATTATTTTTTTAAATAGTGCTCGATACAAAAGTAGAGCATAAATATTATTATTTATTTAAAAATATGATTCCAACTCGCGACATAAGAGGTCTCATGTTTCAAAACAAGAGCCGAAAACTTCAATATAATTATTTGAATTAAATTGAGTTAAAGTAAGCTCTGTTCCATCTTCAAGCAAAATGTATGTATGTGTGTGTGTATCTGTATGTGTGCGTGTGTGAAAATAAAAAGAGACATGACGGAAAAAAGATGCTTAGCCGACGCGTTTTGCCCTCTGCGGGAATTTAGCAAGGCGATGTAGGATTTAAGTCTGACACCGAGATCAACACCGGCCAGTTTAATGCTTGGACGCAAAATTTATATGTTATATCTGCATGCGATGTATCCCAGATATTGAAAACCTTTACTCATAAATATAGCATAACTTAAATCTATATTTTATTATATATATATATATATATATATATATATATATATATGTGTGTGTGTGTGTGTGTGTGTGTGTGTGTGTGTGTGTGTGTGTGTGTGTGTTGTTATTTACGATCAAATATAGACGAAATATTTAATAGAATCCGACAGGGTGATAGGATAAACAGCAAATAGGAAACGTTTATCAATCTAACCTGTTTCACTATTAAAGTACGCATACTACATATATTTGCCACCGGCTAGACAGTTCGATTTCAGAGCATGGAATCCAGGTTCGAAATATCAACAAGGTCGATTAGTCAATGTACTGAGGTATTGCAATTATAGAATCACTTTGGAAAGATGATGCCAGCATGAGATACCGTAGACATTTCCTTGAAAATCTCATGTAATGTGACCCAAGGCATTTGAATATATTTAGACATACTAAACTGTTTGGTAACCAGGAAAATTTGTGCAAACACGAAGTCACAAGTCATCAATATGTTACTCTTTTTTGCCATTGATAGCAATCTATATAGGTAAGGAAACTATATGCAAATACACATTGGTCAGCTCGCTGGATATTACTGAGAGATATATCGACCTATAAACCTCACAGGTGGATACATCCTTTAATAAATTAACACGTCCTGGGACTTAGCAATCTGCCGTAGGCTGAAACAGGGAAATATATCGAAAAGGAAGAAAAAAAGAAAATCGCTGTATATGCATTGTGATCTAATATAATTTTTATTTTCATTCTATAGAAAAAATCATTATAAAATATGTGTGCACAAGTCTTCTTTCTTTTCGGTGCTGAAATGCAATGTAATATCAATTCGCTTTTATGTCAGTGCAGGGTCGTTGCAAGGGTCTTGTATGTCCCACCGAATCTATAATACGCTCCCCTGAATCTACCACTACCACTTTTTAGTCTTAGTATGAGCAAAACAAAACCAAGGTTTTGGACGAAATAAACAAAACAAAAATAAACATACAAACACAAAATATCCTCAAAATGCACTAGAATTATTGATCATTTAATAGACAGCAGTGCATAGTTTATATAGGTATATAGAAAAAAGCTATTGTTGATAAAACAATGAGGGTCAGAAAACACTGCCTGTGGCACACAATCGGGCTTGCCCCAATTTCAGGATGGATTTTTGAGAGCAGAAAGCACCGGCTGGGTGTCAGTAAATTCTGGAAATTCCAGAGGCTTGATGCAACAGAGATTTTATTCCAAAGAAATGCTAAGAGTACCATGGAAGAAATTCGAAAGATTTAAGGAAAATGGAAGCGAGTAGGTCGCTTATTCTTACAATCCAACATTCTGCAATATAAGAAGAAAGGACGGCTTGGAAAGTTGATTCTTACAGGATATATTTCAGCCATGACGGACAAAAGGGAAACAGCGAGTAAGCTTTCTAACGTGTTTCTGTAAGTGAATGTCAGAACAGAGATTGGGAAATAAAAAAAATAAAATAATTTAAGGATATGGCGAGCTAAAATCAACAACACTAAAGGGCCACGACTGAGAGAACCTGTAATATACCGTTTTCATATTTATGTTCGTCTGGGTTTTATCTATCTATCTATCTATCTATCTATCTATCTATCTATCCCTGTTCACATCTATATATAAATCTGTCCATCTACCTATCACTGTGTTATGATGTTGATTTGGGGTTAGTAGAGACAAACGCCAAATAACACGTAACAATAAAAAGGAAAAAGGGTTTTAATAGGTTGGTAAAAAAGTACAGAAATCGCCTGAGTTGTCAATAACTAGCTCAGCTAAGAACTTATCTGTCTATCTATCTTCCCCATGTCAACTGACATGCCACTATTTAAAGTCTTTGTTCACAGACGCAGACAAGTTCATCTTCAAGAGGGGTGGTAGGTTTCCGACACAACACACGGTTATCTATCTATCTATCTATCTATCTATCTATCTATCTATCTATCTATCTATCTAACTGTATTGTTATCTACCTATCTCAATCATTTCATTATCTATCTATGTATCTATATCTGTTCATATCTATATATAAATCTGTCCATCTACCTATCATTGTTATCTATCAGCTACGTATCTATCTATGCACACACACACACACACACATATATATATATATATAGAGAGAGAGAGACAGAGAGAGAGACAGACAGACAGACAGACAGACAGACAGACGTGTGTGTGTGGCTCTGTGTGTGTTTATTCGAATGGAATAAGATGAACTACTCAAAGCACTTTTTCATTTTTATCAGCCGACATTACACGAGCAGTTGTTTTTTTGTTTATTTTTTTGGGATAAAAATCAGTGTTAAAAATATTGGTTTATACATTTCTTAGCGTAGATGGGACGAAAGTATGGAGTACCCAGTGAGGATTGAACTCACTATTCAGACGTAATTTACCGAGTAAATCAAGCTTGCTGACCATTACACCCAGTTGACGAACGTATAAAATATACTCTTCAAATACGTAGAGAAGCATAACCACTAGGGTGGATCGATTTTGAAACCAAACTCTTGGACAAGTGCAGATAGAGCATGATATCATAAAAGCATACACAAAAGATTTTACGCTAACATTTCGCTTCCATTTGAGGAGATACAATTAAAATCGGATTTATTTATGTCGGAGATTAACTGAAATAAATAACCAGATCGGCTAATTCCATGTTCCATATAAATCATTTTAAAAGTGAAAATAATATTTTTTTTTTTTTACAAATTGGTCAAAAACCAAAACTCAAACAAAAACATTGTTTTCAATCGTTAAGAGTCTATCGATTGAATTGAATGTTATTATATACCATTGTCTTGTAAATGGAATTTTTAAAGCATTCTGAATGTAAAAATAAAGAAAAAAAGTGTGCAAGACAATAAGAAACACTACCTGCCAAAAAAAGTGAAGTTTTGTTGAAAACGGTTGAAAAATGTAGGAAATCCGATCCCAAATATAAACGAACACACACACACACACGGACACACAAACACACACACACACACACACACACACACACACACACACACAACCTGGGTTTTATAATAAGTATAACTCGATATGAGTTGTCCCCCTTTCATTCTCGCGACAACAATGCCTTTTAATCGTGCTTTCAAATTGATTTCGTGCAAAAACAATTGTGTTTTTCCAATTGTGGCGCTGTCAGAACCACCGCAAGGTAATTTTACGCAAAGTTTTGTTGAAATCGGTTGAAAAATGTAGGAAATCCGATCCAATATATAAACGTACACACACACACACACACACACACACACACACACACACACACACACACACAATCTGCGTTTTATAATAAGTAAGATAACATGGTTTACAAATGTTACCTAAAAATAATTTACGGGTAGTTAAAAAAAAGGCAATATGGATGTATAAAAATCGTACTTTATGCAAAGTTTAATTAAAAACTATTCTCTTGGATTATTTTTTTCTGAATGAAATTGTTTCACAATGAATTCAGTAAAATCATTAATAAATCATAAAATTGTCCAAATTTATTTAAGCGATATTTTTATTTCTGAGAAAAACTAAAAGGCAAAAAACATCAACTTTACATTTTATTTTCATTGAGCCGGATTTAAACTTTGTGGATGATGATTTGCATTTACACCGTTATATGGGCGTGCGTTTTGGTTTTATTTATATAGAAAGCTTGTAAGAAATATAAGGTAAAAAAGATATTAATTGCACATAAAATATAAATTGACAGTGTAGTTTAATTGGTTAATTTGCCTATTCAGGACAGGGCCCTGTTTACAAATATATTTTTCAAATAGTTATATTTAGGTGAAAATGCACATGCTTCTTTCGAAAATGACTTGATTAATGTGAAAAAATATGGATTTTGGATCCTAGCATAGTTTGCATACATTTGTTGCGGAAAAGCTATGAGAGTAATATTCACTTGTCTTGATTATTACAGTGTATACATACATTTATTTACTTATAAATTTATATATATATATATATATATATATATATATATATATATATTCAAATTTTGGGGCGGATTTCTAACACCGAAATAGGGACAAAAGTCCACTAAACGTCTGAATGCAAATCCTTCGTTTTTGAGTTTTTTTTTTTAATTCTAAAGTAAGATTACGTCGAATGGCGCTGTGTTGTAGACTAGGTTACATTTGTCATTCGTGTACATTTCTGGCTAGTCTGTCTTTTAGCCTGTGTAGTAGTGAGTTAACTTAGAAGTGTTCAGTTTAACACTGCCAGAATATTCATATTGTGAGCAGACAGAAATGATTTTACATACGGCCGCACGAATGGTAATGGAAGTGAGGCTGCACGGCCGTACCAGAATGCGTTTCTAGACGAAAGGTAACCAAGTCTCGTTGCTGATACAGGATCCGTTGCACCACAAACGATGGATAGTGCAAGAGTATGTTTAGTATATTTAAATTCCCTTCAAACGCTGTGTAACGTAAACTTTAAACATAGTAACTCACAAACGAAATATTTTCGGATATAATTTTATACGGACATTTGCCCTTGTTTTCGTATGAGGGACCCGCCCGCAAAATTTGTAAAAGTATTTTAATACACCATGTATAAAAAAATAAAAAAAAATTTAAAGAATCGGTATGGATTCCTTAAAAGATAAAATACAAAAAGACAAATAGAATTGAAACATTTTAAATTTTCAAGAACAGACACACATACGCATACACACACACACAAACACACACACACATATACACATATATATATATATTTTTAAAGAACAGGCATATATGATACACACACGCAGGCGGGCACACACTGTCACACATACACACACACACACACACACACACACACGTACACACCACACAAACAAATACACATCCATATATAGAGAGAGAGAAAGAAAGATAGAGAAATAGAGAGAGAATGAGAGAAAGATAATAATATTAAACGCGGTAACCAGTTACTGTATACATACATATACATGCCAACTTCAATTCATATACTCGAGATGTGCTTGTGTGTGTATGTATGCGTATGTATATATATATATATATATATATATATATATAATTTCAAAGAACAGGCACATATGATACACACACACACACATACGCAGGCACGTGCGTACACACAGGCTCACACATACACACAAGAACACGCATACGCACACACATATAGAGAGAGTGAGCGAAAAAAAGAGAGAAAGATGCAGAGAATATATACAGAGATGTACTTGTATACACACACACATATATATATATATATATATATATATATATATATATATATATATATATATATATATATATATATATATATATATATATATATATGATTGTGCATGTATTCACGCGTGTATTTGCATGCGTTCATACATCTACACGTACTGGTGTAGGTATGTACAAGGATTTCTTTTATTCTTTCATTCAGCGCGATTGAAAGTGTAGCGGGAAATTGATTAGGCTTGCAAAATAAAATAAACCAAAAAAAATCACCGGAAATGATTAGAATGCTACCAGATTGGAAACCAAAAGGCAATGGCAGGAGATTCTACCTCGGAATAATAATAATAGTAATAATAACAATAATAATAATAATGTAGAAGGGATGACAGAGGCATTGTTAATATGGAACGAAAGGTCACAAGAAGCTATAGAAAGGAGAAAATAATTGAAAAAAAAAAAAAGAAACGCGGACGAAGACAGAAAATGAACTCGACAAAACGTATCGGAATAAAATCCTAACAATAAGAGGTTAAATGTTTAGGCAAACGGGTACACGAACTGATATAAAGTGCGATCTAGAAAGATTATCTTCCGCCAATTTTGATAGCAAGCAACCTCGCTATTGAAATATTACAAGATATGATATATTAGGAAAATGCTTGTCCCTTCGTGCCTCACTTTGAACTTACATTGAACCCTGCAATGACATAATCAAGATGTTGTCTTTCCACACTATTTCAAATAAGAAGTTTACGTAGGAAAGCCCATGATCATTGGAAAAAGCGATAACAGTTACTGGAGAAAAATATTTTCCTAAGAGTTACGCCTACATCAGTTTAAAACGCCAGTTCATTTGGTCACCGAATTTAAGCAACGTCGAGCCTGATCAGTAACTCGATGGGTAACGGCTTCGAAATACAACTTGCTGTAAGTTTATATGTGGGGTTTGTGTAGTTTATATTGTCTTGCTATTCTTATTCGGACAGCTGAATTTAGATTCCTTGGATTTCCATAATCGCAAATACCTATGGAAAAAGTATTAATCCGTCTTTTTTTTCCGGCTATTGATAAATTAGTAGGACTTGTATCACTAAACCATTTTCATCTAAATAAAATAAAAAAATAAATAAATAAAAATGTATTTCAGGCTTTAAATAACTTGAAAATGGTTCATAATCAAAATGTAGTCTTTCCACACTATTTCAAATAAATTGTTAGGAGAAAAAAAAACATTACTATTGGAAAAATCGAGAAAAGCTACAGGAAAAAAAATTCTTTCATTAGAAAACTAATCAATATTTTCAGTTTTTTTTTTTTTTAAGAGAAACGTTTTATAAATATCAACTGAAAGCATTACTAGCTGCTCGGACCATAAATGCCAAATGTTTCCTTATAGGGAAACAGCTATATTACCATTTGCATTAACTTAGATGAACAATGCCCTTCTTACTTAATGACGGTATCTTTTTAATCCTTTCACCCGAAGCAAGGCGGGAATACCATAAGTACGCAGGGTTTATAGAAAGTGAACGTGAGAAAAAAGATTGCGTATAAGGTGGATTGAGGGGAGGATAAAAAAATGAACGGTATTCAAAGAGCTAGAAGACGGAGATTGACACTGCATTTAAATTTTTAATATTTTACTGATCAGGGAAGTAAGTAAACGGAAGGGAGCTTCACACACGGGAAGTGAGAAAAAAACTTTTGAAGTAGAAGTGGCAGTTATATTTAACTATTTCAACAGTAAATGTCAATCTAGTAGCACGCTTAAATTCGTGTAGATGGGGCACCACTGAAAAAAGCTCATCAGATCAGTTTC